CCCCCCCCTTCACTACTATTTCATTCTTTTGTTCTGCATGGGTACATAATGGTCTCATATGTAAGTCTAAAATTAGGAAGTGGTCATGAATTCTAACTTTCCATTAAAGTATTCTCTAGTTTAATGGTTCGTAAGTGGAGGTAATACCACCCACCCCCACAACCTCCATCCAGTAAATTTGGAAATGTGTTGAGGCTTTTGGTGGTCAAAATGAATGAGGCACTACAGATATTTAGTGGATGGGGACTAGGAAGGATAAACATTGGACAACTGTGTCAGAGTCTCATGTAAAAATTGTCCAGCCCAAATGCCAAAAATGCTAAGATGCCATAAAGCAATGCAATGTTTTTTTTGTTTTTTTTTTTTAAGCACAAATGGCAATAAACTCTAAGAAAGTCCTACAAGATCACTTTTCTGCCTAAAAAGAAACATGTAGTTTCCAATTGTCTAAACAGGAAAAAGGGGTTTTTTAATGGAAAATGATAAAGCGAACACTTTTAAATGAGACTATATGCATTTCAAGTTTTATTTGTAATGGAGATAATGATGATTCTTTTCAAATAAAGATTATCAAGTGGCACAAAAATTCCTACACCACTGCTAGGAACTTCATTTTGCTAAAAGAAGGGTATCTGACAAATTCTTCATTTTTCAGTAATTTCATCTTTTAGAAGGTCAAGTAAACAACAGTGGTAATAAGATGCCACATAATCTTTGTCCTCTAAGGACAGACAGCCAAAAAGTTCTAATGCCAAGTCTGAAGAGTTAGGTCAGACATCAAATTGATAACTTTTTAAAATATTAGAAATAAGCAGTGACCCATAAAATAGTAAAACTCATTTTCTTCAGTGGCTTATAAATTAGTTCCTAAGGCAATTCTAAAATGTTCTAAGGAAAGAAAATAAATATGAAGTACTGATTTTTCCCATAGTGACAACATTAAAAGATAATATATTGTGACTAAATTCTGATATATTTAAGAAACCAATTACTTGACTGTCATTCCTTTAAAAAATATGCTTGTTTTGAATGACTTACAGTATATTCTTTTGTTCCACAAAATACACCTAAATAGTAAAGTGTAACTAAGTCTCTACCTCCTAGCGGAGACAGTGTAGAAGTCTACAAGTTAAGATCATTGCACTCAAAAATCAAATTGCCTGGGTTTGAGTCTTGATTCCAAAACTTCTTAAATATGTGACTTTGGGCAAGTTACATAAACTCTTTGTCCCTTGGTTTCCTCATCTGTAAATGAGAATGCTATAACACCTACTTCACTGAGCTGCTGTGAGGATTTACAGAGATGACACATATAAAGGACATTAGCTTGGCACATAACAAGCATTCAGTAAATGTTAGCAATATTTGCAGTTCATTATCATTATGATTATTTATTCTTGTTTTGGTTTTGAAAAATTAATGCTGCTATACGGATCCCTTAGGTTAGAATTGAAGACAGTATTATTAGAATTTAAACACAGCAACCCCATTTTATATCATGTTATCTAGAGACTAATGATCTTTAAAGAAATAATTCTAAGCAAGTATATCTCACTGGATATGCCTTTGCAGGCTCCAGATCTATACATTTAAGCTACTCTCCTATTTTACTGCTTTCCAGTCTCTTGAAAAATTTGTTCAGGTCCTTGCAAGTCCTATCTTGTACAATGTCTATCTTATGCAATTGAAACACTCTCTGAGGGCACATTCACACTGGTGTGCTGCAAAAGCACCTGAAAATATACTTCAATTCTCTGCAAAGTATGTTAATACACAGACACTGGAGTGTTGCCCTTGGTGGTCATCACTGGAACATTCAAAGTTAAGATTAATCTGATCAAGTATGTGGGTGTTTTATTCTATATTTCAAAATGAGATGCCAGGTTTACATCTTTCCTAAACAAATTAAGAATATAATTCCAACAAGTCAAGATGACCAAAAGAAAAAATATCTAAGAATTTAAATGAGTTTTTTTTTCCTATGTCGAAGTG